CTTAATTATGCTCATGGCATTTACGCAGACAAAAAAAAGCCCGGAAGAACTGTCTCACAGTATCCTATACAATTCTCCCCATTCCACTAAAAAGCGCGAAATAAAATAATTTTAAGAAAAAAAATACGCCGACTTCGAAATGCACTAAAAAGTATAAAATAATTTCTATTTCCTAATGAAGTAATTTCTATTTCATTCAATCATACAATTACGTAACAGATATGAATGAAACCTATTTACTCGTTAGGTAGTATATTAAATACATTTCAACTTTTTCGGAGGCGGCGATGTCAGAAAATTAGTTGAAAAGGATATGGTGCAAGGGATGAACATAAGCAAACGAGAGATGAATAACATAAATAAATGCAAGGTATGTGATCTAAGCAAAATTACCCACTTGCCATATAAGGAATCAAACAATATTGAAAAAGACGTGCTGGATCTGGTACACACAGATATCTGTGGACCCATGAGTACACCGTCTTTAGGGGGAGCCAGATATTTCGCAACCTTTATTGATGATTGCTCAAGATACACAGAAATAGTCGCTCTTAAAGAAAAATCAGAAATTTTGTCAGCGTTTAAAGCTTACAAATGTCGAGTCGAAAAGCAAACAGGAAAATTCATTAAGAAAACACGAAGCGATAATGCTAAAGAGTATCTCTCGAAAGAATTTACAGAATACCTGAAAGAAGAGGGAATAACAAGGCAGTTATCAACCCCTTATACACCGCAACAAAATGGGGTGGCCGAGCGAGCCAACAGGACAGTAGTGGAAATGGCACGCACGATATTAACGGAGTCAAAATTACCGTTAAGTTTATGGGCAGAGGCAGTAAACACTGCAGTATATTTAAGAAACAGGTGCCCAACAAGAAAGTTAGACATGACCCCCTACGAAAAGTGGACAGGTAAGAAACCATATATCGGATTTTTAAGAGTTATTGGCAGCAGAGTAATTGCTTTGGAGAAGAGACCTAGGGCAAATAAGTTTTTGCCAAGAGGTAAAGAATATGTTCTAGTTGGCTACGATCAAGAGTCAAAGGCATACAAGCTGTGGGAATGCGGAACCAACCACATTGTAAAGCGAAGAGACGTGCGTTTCCATGAAATAATTAGAAATTACGAAGACCTGGAAACTGAATTACCAATCCCAAAATCACAAAATGAATCCCAAAATGAAAACTCGACGGAGATCGATGAACTATATGAAGAAGAAGATACTCGAGAGGATTTGGCAGAAAGTGATCCGGAAAATTACAATGATGCTCAAGAGGATGTAGATAATACGCAAGAAGAACCACAACTCTACAAAAGGGCAAGAGGTCGTCCAAAATTATTGCGTACCGGAGCTCGAGGTAGGCCAAAGAAAATATACCATAATTCAGATTTTGCAAATGAAGAGAAATACAAGGAACCCAAGACACTCACGGAAGCAATGAAAAGTAAGGAAAGGCCATTATGACTGAATGCAATGAAAAATGAATATGACGCACTCATGAAAAACGAAACGTGGGAATTGGTGAATAGGCCAGAAAACGCTAAGATACTTACAAACAGATGGGTGTTTAGAATAAAAAGAAATCAAGACGGAACAGTGGACAAATTCAAGGCAAGACTGGTAGCTCGAGGAAACGAACAAAGAAAAGGAATCGACTTCGATGAGGTCTTCGCACCAGTAGCCAGGTATGAAATGATACGAACATGCAACAACCAGAAATGTCCGTACAAGCAGATGAAGAAAATAAGGTATGCAAACTTAAAAAACCACTGTATGGTCTAAAACAAGCAGGACGAGAATGGTACCAAACTTTGGACAAGTACCTGAAAAGTATAGGTTTAACAAATTCCCAAATTAATCCGTGCGTCTATATAGATAGTACTAAAGGTACAGATTTAATAATTATTATTTACGTAGATGATTTATTACTAGCATCTAGAGATTTGCAAGAGCTAATAAAAGTGAAAGAATTACTAAAAAGAAGATTCGATATAAATGACTTGGGCAAAGCAACTAACATATTAGGCATATCTATTCAACGGAGTGGCGATACCGGGCTAATCAAGATGTCTCAACGAAAATATATAGAAGAAACGCTGAAGAAATTCGGCATGGAGGATTGCAAACCTGCAAGCACACCATTGGTGCCCCACGAAACATTTAACCAAGAAGATACGAGTTTGACTGATGTAACCAAAGTACCATATAGAGAACTCGTAGGAGCATTAATATATCTGTCAAACGCCACTCGACCAGATATAGCATTCGTCGCAAACGTCCTCAGCCAGTTCAACGAGAACCCTTCCAATTATCATTGGAAAGCGGCAAAGCACGTTTTACGTGATTTGAAACATACTATAAATTACGGTATTAATTATTCAGTTACAGGTAAACAATTAGAGTTATATGTCGACGCCGATTGGGCAGGAGACGAGAGTAATAGGAGATCTCGTACAGCATATGTGAGCCTGCTAGCGGGAGGTCCCATCAGCTGGGAAACCAAGAAACAAAAATCCGTAGCCCTGTCGACAATGGAAGCGGAATACGTGGAAAAATGTAAAGTACTTAGCTTTTGACTTTGGTAGGGTAACCATTATTTGGTTCCAAAGAGATCACTGAATGTAAATACGCGACTAGAATATAAGAAAAATACACTTTATTTAATTACATGTTAGCGTCAAGCCGTGTGCAAAGGTGGCACACGTGTCAGGGTCATCGTATCCCGGATTTTGACCCGGTTCTTAGGGGTCTTGGGATGACGATAATATAAACTCATGTCCGTCATCGAGCTAAGGATCGGTGGTAACCGATAGCTAAGGACCGCGACGAATTCTAAGAGTCGCGAATGTTATGGTTAGAGGTCGATGCCTTCTTCTTTGAGGATCACCGAAGGTGTCGTGTCTCGTGGCCGATGACCCGACGTCATGGTGCTGCGTGGCACGTGCACAGAGATTAGGGTATTCTAGTAGGATCTGGTCACAGAGTGGGGAGGATATTGCATCCTTCGTTAAGCGGACCTTGAGGGACAGCAAGGCACTTAACCCAGAACTTTCGAAGAATACGGATCGCTAATTATCACAAAGACTTTTTATCTAACATGCATATGAACTTTGATAATTTAGCGGATGGTAGAACTACCATATATTGTGACAATCAAAGTGCAATTCATTTGAGTAAGAATATTATGTATCATCGTAGAAGTAAGCATATAGATATTCGCTATCACTATTCGCGAGAAATGCAAGAACGCGGAGAAATAGAAGTTAAGTACACAAGTACAAACGAAATGAAAGCGGAAATATTAACAAAATCATTACCAAAGAATAAATTAGAAATATGCGTTGATTTGTTAAATTTAAAAGATTAGATTACGGTATGATACAAAGAATACAGATAAGATGTTTGTATGACTCGCGCAATTAATGGTACACTTTGAAAGGGGGAGTATTGGAAATGAATTCAAAGTGCGCGCGCGAATCCTGTACTCTTGCCGGGGCCTCTTTCGGCCTTTGCGTTCCTTTGTTCCTTCTTCTTCCGGTTTGTCCTTCGCATGCGTTACACGCTGCGATGTGCGCGTACATGTTTAATCCGTATTAATCTGTTCAACATTATATTAAACTTATAGACCTCGTATCTTGTGTCTTTTAATGCCCACAAAATAACTCAACAAATTACATTCTGATTTCCATTAAAATCAAATATTTTTACGAATTTAGAGGAAAGAGGAATTAAACAAAAATACTATCTCTTTATAAAAAGTAGTATAAAAGAGACTTTAAAAATTTGCCGAGTAGTATTCCAATTAGCTATTCGAAAGCATAAAAATGTTATATTTGACCTATTTCTGTGCGTTTTCAGTGATATTCAACAAAACAGCACTTGCACGCTGTGGTATAACGATTATTTTCATCAATTCTGGGTAGATGTTAACAAATTAAAAAATACGTTTCAAAAATTTTCTTTTTTTGGATCTGAAATTACTTAATAAGGACATCGAAATTTGTATATATCGCTTGAAAATTATTGGTTCTAATGACAATCATTTATAGTACGAATATCACATTCTTACCTATTTCATTCAAATATGGATTAAATAACATTCAAACTGTTATAGTAGCATAAAAACGGACATAAGGAAATTATATGATAGTTGCAGCTCCTCATAAAAAAAAAACCAAGATTTCTCAAATCTGAACTACTAATTTAATCTTGCTCTAACCTATCCCTTTTCCTTGTGAATACCTGAATTTTTAGAATATTTTGTATTTTTAAAACTTACAAGACCAAACAAAGTTTAATTACAAATTTTATAAACGATCAATTTATTCTGCATGTAAGATTAATAATTTATACATTATTGTACATTACAGTTTACTACTTTTTATTTATACATACTCTTTGGTCAGAAAACTTCTCCGTTGTGAATCCATTAATTGATTTATAGAAACAAATTCTGAGTATTTGGCAAATCATGCGGAAGTGAAGACATTCTAAAAGAGTACATACAGAAAAATATACATATACTGCCACCAAAACAGTGTAAAAAAAATATGTATGCACATAAATAGCTAAAAGCATCATCACACGATGTAATAAAGATCAGTATTTAATTTGTATAACGAATTACAATTATTTCACGCGCACTTTTACGAACAAAATCCGAATTAAATCACATAAAGAGCTAATAACACGAATCTTTATTTTGTAAACAACAAAATTTCTATGTTCTCATTCGATTCATTGTGTTGTTATATTCTTTTTTTGTTGTTTTTGGATATAATAAATATATTTTAGCAAATCTGCAACAACATAAAGTTTATCACAGCATATATAACGAATTTGTTAATTATTATTTACCAGAGAAACCTCAATGTAACGTAATTATCTCATAGGTTAGTAATTAATATGTTAAACTACATGACAGACCTTCGTTCAACATGAATCGGTATAAAAGGTTTTAAATCGATGGTAGTTTACCATAGCATAGCAGAGTACTTACAATACACAATCATGGGGGCACTTGCAGACATCTCGTCCGCGAAAGTGGATATGACGCACGTGTATTCGCCGGTAAGGTCGATACCAGGCTTATTCAATTTCATGGCTCGGTACTCGGTGTACGGATCATCGCTGGCTTTGTACGTTAGATCAACGTAGTGTCGCGTGATATCTCCAGCTAAAGGTACCCTGCCTTGTATCCATTGGTAAGCCACTTCGTTGGTGTTGAAAAACCATTTCACGACTAATCCTTTTGCTGGCGTGTTTTGAAGATCGTAATCACAATCCAAGATCACGTAGTCGGTATCAACCTTAACCGTTGCTGGCACGTTCACTTCTTTTATTATTAGCTGCCAGCATTCTGAAAAACAATAAGATCATTGTTAAAAGAAAAACTACTAAGATTCTATTCGCATGGAAATAGTGTTGGTATTGTAATTGACTATTTTTCAATTATTTTAGTAACTATTTACTAATACTAAACAAGATAGTCATAATTAGTAATCAATTAATCATTATTGTAATATTAGTAAAATGTCATAATATGTATTAGTCATATATTGACTATATTTGTATTTGTATTTTTGTATTTTTTACGTTTTACACAATTAATGTTATGACCTAAATAATTAAGGTAAATTTTCAAATTCGGATGCGCTAAGAATACGTGTAGTTAATTAATGTACATAGTGTGGAATTCTTCATAAAACGATCGAGTTTCTGTACATCACTTCCAGCCTAGAGAATCTCTGATAGTAAGTGCAGGAACGGGGTGCGGGATGGCAAATAAAAAGAAATTACCCGATGAAGTAAATGGGTAATTCTATTTCGCTACCGTATACAAAAATTTCAAATTCGCTATGATCGCTGTTATCGCTATTACCGTTTCACTGTACTCGCATTCGCTTCTTTCCAAAAACTGCTCCGTTTCGATTCTCATGCCTTGACCCTCTCGCAATCTACCTTCTCTCTTTCGCTCGTCAAATGTTTCCTTTGTTCGCCCGCATCCATACTTCGCATTCACACTATCTCACTCGCACTGTCGCAGACGCACTATCGCACTCGCACTGCTTAACGGTAATCGCTCGAACGGCTGTAATGCAGTGTTTTTCTAAGCGCGCCCAAACATATGATCGGCCCAGGTTAATGCCCTCCTACATAAGTATTTCTTTGAGAATAAAATTCATCCGACAAGTTGTTGATGGAGTTATTTCATGATACATAAATTATTTTTCATATTTTACGTCGAGAATATTGTTCCAAATTTCAAACAAATTAATATAGTGATTATGAAATTATAGAAAGAAATTTAAATCGTTATTTTACGAACTTCAAATTCACTCAAAAGATATTAAACTGCAAATCTTTGTCTATTTTCACGAAAGATTACCTTTGTAGTTATTTGACGAATTGAGTGAATTTGTTGTTTTTCTATTCTTTTTTCGTAAATTCTTTCGTAGTATTTTTTACCATCATATATATATACTTAATTTTGAAAAGTACAGTAAAAGTACAGAAAAGAAGTATTAAATTTAGATCAGATTTCCATGGAGTCATTCGACCATCAATATTCAATTTATAACAATAAATATGAATCAGTAGACATTAAAAAACAGTATACAGAATACAGAAAGCAAAAGTTAATAGTAACTGTATCTTTTAGTTTAGAATCCTTGACTTTTAAGAAAAGTTAAGACGATGAATTTAGTTGATGAAACACTTATAATTATTATAAGAATTATAATTATTGAAATTATATTATACTTAAAGTATTCCATTTTGGAAAATATATGATTTATTCGAGGTAGATCATAACTAGACGTTTAACAGAAAAGGGAGCGATTCTACATGAAAAAATAAGTCATAAAGTTTATATTAAAAATAAATTATAGAGAACGTTATAGAGTAATCAATACAAATACTAACATTGCCAAAAGATGTGTTACCGGCTGTTAACTTCCGTGGAATTGTTAATATAGGAATTAACGTATCTAATACAGCGCAAAATCTAAGTTGAAAGTATTGTACTTATAAAATAATTTTTAGAAAAAAATTATAATAATAAAATAATAATAAAATAATATTAAAATAATAAAATAATAATAAAAGATTATTTTGAATATGTTATTTAATTTTGCGCCGCCTCCGAAAAGGTTGAAATGTATTTAATATAATACCTAACGAGTAAATAGGTTTCATTCATATCTGTTACGTAATTGTATGATTGAATGAAATAGAAATTACTTCATTAGGAAATAGAAATTATTTTATACTTTTTAGTGCATTTCGAAGTCGGTGTATTTTTTTTCTAAAAATTATTTTATTTCACGCTTTTTATCGGCCG